AAATAACTGTAAAATTTGGATAGGGACGAATAAAGGAACGCCTACTTCAATTCTTGTAATGGAAGCTCTTCACGACATACACAGACTAATAGCTCGATACAATTATAGTAGAAAATACTGTATGCGAAAAGGGATGTGTTGGTTGCTGAATTTGGTCCGTATGAAGCAAGGAGCCATCGACTTGTGATATAGATATAGAAACACAGCTGATCTTTAGCTGATTTCTCTCTCCATTTCTCCTTGCCTAGCAGTCTCCATTGTTCCCTATAAAAACAACGACACTGCTGTGTGTGTACCCATCTGCACAGTGGAGTGAAAATATTCATAATATAACAAGATTTAAAAAAAAGGTCTAGCTTACTCGTTCTCTCGTGTTTATAGTATTTTCCTTTTCCTGAGTTATGAATACAATATAAAAAATACAACTACTGCACCAACAATAATTCTTATAGTTGTTATCCAAAATGCAAACTACAGAGCCAAAATGTGACGAAGTGAATAAGATTATAAAGCAAACATAAGCCAAACATTAGGAAAAGAAACATTGGCATATAAATAGACCCAAGGACATACCGCACGCTCCTCAAGGTAGGACTACAAGTTCATGCCAAATATACCTCCAGCCAATGTTTTTATGAGCTTCAGTGGCTTCTATATGCATGGGGATGACATTATATGATTCAAGGTTTGAGGAATATTTATAATGTTTACACAAATCTGGTGAAAATGCTTGCATATCAATCCAGTGTGCTTGTCTTTATATAGTACACAGTGAGCTAAAGAAGGAATACACAATTAGTTCAATTTGTTGTACATAGTAGATGTGATTGACAGAGTTATTATTGCTGAATCCCCTAATCATGCGGTTCCCTTATACGACCCCTCAAAATCAATGTACCATCAGCGACATTGATTCTGCTTCGTAGGAAATTGAAGCGAGATCGACTGAGAGGCTTGGTCAGTAAATCTGCTAGCTGATCATCTGTGTGAACATGTGCAACTTGAAGACAACCATGGTGAACAAAGTTACGAACAAAATGGAGGTCAATTGCTATATGTTTCATCCTAGAGTGCAAAACAGGATTAAGGCTAAGTTGAGTGGCTCCAACATTATCACAAAGGAGCTGTAGAGGAGCATGGAGCTTAACACCAAGTTCATCAAGACGGGATTGAATCCAGGCAATGTCCGAGGTGGCAGTGGCAAGGGCCCGATATTCAGCTTCAGTGGAGGATCAAGCTACCGCCTTTTGCTTCCTAGTGCTCCAACTGATGGGATTATTGCCCAGAAAGTGGACTTACGATCATCAAGATTACCACCCCAGTCTGCATCTGAAAATCCACGTAGAACAAGATTGGTTTCACGGCGAAGTAGAAGACCAAAGTGAATCGTCTGCTTAAGATAACGTAGGAGGTGCTTGACATGTTGCCAATGAGTCACAGTAGGTTTGTGCATAAACTGAACAAGGCGATTCACTGTAAAATCAATGTCTGGGCGAGTGAGAGACAGGTATTGCATTGTGCATAAACTAAACAAGGCGATTCACTGTAAAATCAATGTCTGGGCGAGTGAGAGACAGGTATTGCAACGAACCAATGGTGCTACGATATTCCGTAGCATCACACCCAGCAGTGCCATCGTGGAGAAGAAGTTTTGTAGTTGTAGACATGGGAGTTTGAACCTCCTTGGCACCAGTTATCTTTAAACGAGTGAGAAGATCATGGACATAGCAATTCTGGGAGAGAAATAGACCCTGATGGACTGGAATGACTTCAACTCCAAGGAAGAAATGTAGATCACACACCTCTTTGAGAGAAAACTTGTCACCCAAAGATTGAACCACATGCTGCAAAAATTGATGATTATTGCCTGTGAGAATTAGATCATCTACATAAACAAGAACGTAGGTAGAACAAAGTCCCATTTTGGTTGAAAATAAAGAGGGAGCTATCAGACTGAGAATTGAAGAAGCCCAACTCCAATAGGCAGTTCCTCAATGCATTATACCAGGCCCTCGAGGCTTGCTTTAAACCATAAATAGATCTCTGCAGAGCACATACATAATCAGGATGGGACTGATCAACAAAGCCAGCAGGCTGAGCCATGTACACCTGCTCAGTTAGTTGGCCATAAAGAAACGCATTATTGACATCAAGTTGCTTCAATGGCCAGATGTTGGATAAAGCAAAAGATAGCATAAGTCGAGTAGTTGTGGGTTTTACAACAGGACTGAAGGTTTCGACATAATTAATGCCGGGACGCTGATTGAATCCTTTCGCCACAAGTCGTGCCTGAACCTATCAACCGTGCCATCTTCATGGCGTTTAACCCTGAATATCCATTTAAAACCAATCAGATTGGCATTAGGGGGGTTTTGGAACAATCTTCCAAGTATTGTGTGACACCAAAGCGGTAAATTCGTCTGCCATAGCCTTACGCCACCGAGGGTCCTTTACAGCTTGAGATACACATGTAGGCTCCAAAGGTGGGAAAAGGGGGTATTTGGTGGTAACTTATAGTTGTTCAGGCTTATAGATGTTATTTTGGGCACGAGTGACCATGTGATGAGTATGAATAGGAGGGTCTGATGGCTTAGTAGATGGAATGTTGTTAACAATAGTAGGAGACATACCTGGGAGGGTGGATGGTGACGAGGATGTAGGAGTGTCAGTAGTGGTAGGTGTGGAGGAAGGAGTATTTGAGGCAGCAACCCGAACAAGAGGTACAGGCGTGATCACAGTTGGCGATTGATTTGCTGAACTAGGAGATTAGATAGTGGTAGGGAGATAAGGTGGGGACTACTTAAAAGGGAAAACCGTTTCATCAAATGTGACATGTCGAGAGAGAAAAAGCTTGCCAATGTGCAAGTCTAGACATTTGAAGGCATTTCAAGTTAGGGAATACCCAAGAAAAACACAGGGACGGGATTTTGATTGAAGTTTATAGCTGCGATAAGGTACTAGCCAAGGATAACATTGACAACCGAAAACTCTTAATTTGTGATAATCGGGAACACTATTAAATATGGCTTCAAAGGGGCTATTGCGAGCAAGTAAGAGTGTGAGAAGGTGATTAATAAGATAAACAGCAGTGTCTAATGCATAAGTCCAGTAGGTGGACGGAACCGAGGCATGATGCCACAGAGACATTCCAATTTCAACAATGTGGCGATGGCGACATTCAACTGTGCCATTTTGTTGGGGAGTGTGAGGAGCCGTGGTGTACTGACTAATACCACATGAGGCCAAGAAGGGTCGAAGTTTGATAAATTCAACACCATTGTCCGTGTACAAGTTTTTAAATCGTGTAGAAAACTGATTTTCAAGCATAGCAATTAATTGAACAAAAATGGTGCTAACATCAGATTCCAACTTCATAGGAAAAAACCAATAATACTTGGTGAAATGATTGACAAATAGTACATAGTAACGATAACCGTCGACAGAGGGAACCCGGGAGGGACCCCACACATCAGCATATAAAAATTCGAGCGGAGCATGATTGCTAAGGGAGGTTGTACTAAAAGGTAACTGTCGAGACTAATTACAATGACACGAGATACAAGACGACTCGAACTTAGACAAAGACATAGGTAATGAATGACTTCGGATCAGGGAAGATAAAAGTTTGGAGGTAGGATGTCCCAATCGATGGTGCCATTGGTCGAAGGAGACACAAGTACCAGCCAAGGTAAGTGTATAAGCTTGTCGGGAAGGAGCTTCTAGAGCCACAGGATAAACACCATCTTCACACCTATCGCGCATGAGCGCCGCACCCGTCATCCTATCCTTCATAAGATAAAAAAAATGGATGAAATTCAACAATCACATTATTATCATGACTAAACTTGTGAACAGAAATCAGATTTTTATGAATAAGAGGCACATGCATGGTTTCTTTTAAAGCTAGAGACCGGGAGGTAGAAGGAAGAGTGGTGGAGCCAATGTGTGCAACTTTTAAACCTGTACCATTGCCAAGAACAACCTCATCTTGCCCATCATATTCTGAGTGAATTGAGAGATTTGCCATGTAATATTGTGGGAGGCAGCGGAATCAAGAAGCCATTTTTCATTCTTTGGTGCGGAAGAAGTGGAGCAATTTGCAGCTGGTCGAGCTTGTGATTTGTCACAATTTTTGGTAGAGTGACCAGGTAGATCATACAGTTGACATACAATCAACGGCTTTCGAGAGAATTGCTTGTTTTGCGGTTGTGATTTGGGCCTGTTCTTGCTGTTTCTGAAACGACCGTTCGATGACTTTCACTGAGATGAATTGGTGGTAACAACCAGGGTCGAAATATTTCCATCCATACGTTTGATATAGTGTTCGTGACCAACCAAAAGATCATGCAATTCCGGAAAGGACAAAGTAGATTCGCGGGTGCGAATAGGTGCCGCTATGTCTCCAAATTCTGGACCAAGACCATTTAAGACATACAAGGTCAAATCATCATCTAAAACTGGTGCATCAATCAGAGAGAGCTCGTCAGCAATCACCTTGACTGCATGAAGAAACTCAAATATCGTGCGAGGACCCCGTTGAACGAGGGTCATATCTTCTTTGAGTTGCATAATACGAGCCCCAGATTTGCTTGTAAATAGATGGGCTAAGTGTTGCCAAGCATCATAACTAGTAGTAGTCATGGCAATTGGAGGCATAACGGCATCAAAAACCAATGAAAATATGGCATTAAGGAGCAATTGGTCCTTCAGAACCAATGTGTATATTTAACCACAGCAGCAGGAGAAGACTCAGCAGTGGGTTTAGGAGAGCACTTGTTGGTGCCGTCCAGGTATCCCATCAGATCATATCCAATGAGAATGGTCAAGAAAGTTGCACGCCAAGAAGGATAATTTGAGGATGTGAGTTTGTATGGAAATTGGCTAGAAGTGTTGATGGCAATCAATGGAAGTTCAGAGGAATCTGAGGTTTTTTTATTCACCGGAGGAAGAGTGGAATTAACACTGAGGGACGACATGGAGGCTGGAAAAACATGTTGTTCTCATGAGAGAAGAACCAATTGATACCATATAATGTTTACACAAATCTCGTGAAAATGCTTGCATATCATTCTAGTGTGCTTGTCTTTATATAGTACACAGTGAGCTAAAGAAGGAATACACAATTAGTTCAATTTGCTGTATATAGCAGATGTGATTGACAGAGTGATTATTGCTGAATCCCCTAATCATGCGGTTTCCTTATAATATTGATGTTCAATATCCATTAGAATGGCATAATCAAACATTGGAATAATCTCAGTTCGTAATTTGATTGATTACCATTGCTCACTTCTCAAATTTGATTAAGCCATAATATTTTAGTGACACTGCAAAAACTATAAAAGTACATTACAGATTTGAGACAGAATGAAATAAATAGAATTAAGAGTTAACCTTGAATGTTGTAAGACGAGTAAAATGTATTCTCAAATGTGACTGTTTACTTCATAATATTTCCTCTTACATTCTTCTTAACTGCTCTAAGCGACCACAAAGAAGCTAGAGTCAACTTCTTTGCCAGTCTGGCAGGCCTCTAAGTGGCAAAAAATTCAAAGATGACTATAAATTGACAAGGTTCATCAGTACATATACTCAGTTGTTATGTTAATAAATAATTTTAATACAAGGTATCTAAGATTTAGTAAAATATATGATACAACCATATACTTAAAATTGAAAAGAGATGTGAAAAAGATAAGGAAAAAATTAGTTACTTGTAGGAAAAATTTGTAATTGTGTAGGGAGGTTAAGTGGGTAAAAGATATCGAACGAAAGACCAGAGAGAGACACCATCCTCTTATATCGGGTTCTACTGCTACTAATATCGTGCCTAATATTTAAAGTCTCAGCATAGTGTCAAATTGTAGAACCCACTTGAGAGTGGAGCTATGGAGGGCCTCAAACTTGTGCTTAAGGAGTCATGTTAATTAGAAAATTGCATCACTCTGTATGCTATGACATTGTTCTTAAAGTAAAGAGTTACAGACATGTCAAGTATCCTAACAGTACATGTACATGAAATTTAACAAAAAGAAAGCTGCTAATCATTCAAGAAATGATCATTTTAGTTTACTCAGAGAGCTCGTTACTTGCAACAAAGCACCAACTGCAATACAAAATGTCCTAACCTGAAGAAGAAGTTCCACTCTGCTTACCTCAAGCCTCCGAGAGCTGATAAGAGAAAAGACCATCAGTAAATAATGGAAAGATCCCTAAGTTTTGAATAAAAATAGTTGTTAGGAATGAACCAAGAAAATATATTGTTTAACAATGCTCATAGCACGATAAATGACTAGTGTACTACTGGATAACTCCTATGATAAATAAAGTTCACTGATATTTTTTATTAAATGCTACCCTCAATAATCTAAAATATTTCATATTTTAAACACAAATTTCACAAAAACGGCCAAATCCTCCATTAAGTTCCAAGTATATTTGCAAAATTAACAGATTTATATGTACTATCTTATTTTTTATTTCTAGTGCTCTTAGACAAATTTAAAGAAATGTTAACTTAAATGTTTTTTTTCTTGTACTCTGATAAGAGAATATAAATTGAGTGAACAACTTAAATCATTGTAACATGATGAAAGGCATATTGGGACAGCTGACCAGAAGGCTGCCATTACTTCATGTAGCACAAATGTTTTCATTTAAAATTCAATTTGTAGATTAAAAAATAGATGGAAAAAGAGAAGGGTTGGCAATTAACCTAAGGTTGACTGCAATGGAATCTTCCATTTCGCTGAATCAAGAAGCCTCTCTGCCTGACCATGACAAGATTCACACCTGCAGTTTCAAGACATTAGTGAGAGGATAGTTAACTGAGATAAAGAATGCATAGAACAAAATTTTTAGTAGGTCCATGCTGTTCTTAACTAACAATGACCACAAATGAAAAAAAAAAAAACTTCATAAAGCCTAGCTTTTACAAAAAAAATTGAAAGACTGTGAAACAGCTTCAATAAATCAATTTTTTTTAAAACTATGTTCAGAAACTACTACAAGCTTAGCTAAAGATATCTGAGGTCAATTAACAAAATGAGGATCATAAATAAAGACGGCTTATTTATTGGATTAAAAGAAAACATTATCTCATACTGTCACTTTTTTTTTTTATTAAGTAACAACTGTAGCAAAATTACACTCAAAACACACACCTATTTCACGAAATTTTTAATTCTCTAATAGTTATTTATATAATATCACAGCTAGGAAAATATTTATGGGTTAAGGGTTGCAGATGTCTGAACTACAGCATGTGATGCTTCCCGCATGATTTCTGTTAAAAATAGAAATAAATGATATCACACAATGCAACGGTAGCCAGCAACCACCCTATATACTCTGCATAGAATTGAAGGATGCCATGAACTACCTTTGGAGATATTTTTATAAAAGCATTTCAATTTCTTCTTCCTCCTCTGCAGAAGAAACACTCAAATCAGGAATGATTGACAAATTGACAATATGTTCAATTCCACAACTTGATTTACTATGATGATGAATCAACCTTATGACTTACCCTCAGCCATATGCTTTTCCAAGGAACAGAGCATTCCTTCTCATCATTTTTCTGAAGGGTACAATTTCTTCACATAATACAAATACGTCGTATTTCATGTATGTCCTCAAGAATATCAAGCAGCATTTGTTTGGTAGCCCCCGTTCGTGAGCCCAATTCAACCTTTATAAGAAGCATACATGGTTATTATACGTCAATAATTTCAATGGAGGATATGTTACCAAATCAGAGGGAAACTGTATACCAATCTCTGCTTGCTAATTCAAAGTTCCTTTAATATGTCACCTATCAATTTTTATTTATTTATTTTTTTTTTTGGCAGAACCTCAAGTAAAGCTTGCACCTGAAGCAAATGGTAGCTCATTCAGTTGTTGATAATGGTAGAAGGAAGATAGAATGTTCTAAAAGCCTAAATTAAGTTCTTAGTGTTTTCTTTATAATAGGAGTAAGATATTTGCCAAAAA